AAGCCACACCACCTAAGCTCAGGGTATCTGTCTCCCATCTGCTGACCTACCATTTCTGACAGACTTAGAGTCTGTCTGGAAACATTGTTCCTACAGGAAAACATTGTTCCTTTCCAGCAGTAAATGGGGCATTTGAATCTCTTCCATACTGAGGACAGGGTGCGTATCCTTTTGTGCGTATCCTTTTGTGTGTATCCTTGTTGACACAAAACTGCTGGATTAAGATGTTCCCCTCTCAGAAGAAGACAGTAGGACCTGTACTCGATCAGTGTGTACGTGCATGCTGCTCTAGGGCTAGCGGTATACCTGCTGCTACCGGAGACAGCAACAGCTGTCTTGCCAGAGAGGAGCACACCCTCTTTGTCTTCAGTACCCTTTTAGAAAATTTTTAAGCTCTTAATGCTAATCTCAAGAACCATTAATGCCAATTTTGCAGACTCCCTGAGAGGTGGACTCTTTACCTCAGGTCTCCAGTCCAAGATCAATGCAGATGCTCAAGCTGATGGAGACAGGGTTGAATCTACTGAATCTACTCTTTGGTGGAGTCCTCAGCAAAGACACTTATTCAAAGAAAGAGACCCCATTTGAAAGGAAAGCTGCCTTGAAAACTCACCAGTCAAGGCTAAGATGTTTGAGTCTTCCAAATTTGGTATGCATATACCAAAGCAGCAATTTAATAGTGAAGTAAATTTATGTGCTGCAAGGCTGCTAATATACCACATCATGTAACTCCTGTGGTCCTGAAATTCTGCTTAGAAGGCAATTCTTTTTACCAACTGCCAGGGTACCTTTGATTTCAGTTCTTGCATAAGTCATCAGCTTTTGTAGGAAGGATCAGATACTGATCACTATTCTACTATTGTCCCAGTGCCTTTCTAATCTCTATGTCCTGGCAAAACTTACAGTCACTGATAGTGATCTACTCATCACAAACTCCTGTGGGAAACTGGATATCACATAGAAGCCAGCAATAGCTCTTTTTACTCTTAGAAAGTGACATAATCCAGAGTTACTGAAACTCTTTTCTTCTTTCCCCCCTTTTCTTTTTTTATGTTCCCTTTTATAATCAAGAAACTGAGCCATATATTTTTAATAATGAGAATCTGGATGTGGTTCAATCTAAATTTTGAAAATATATTCCAATTAAAGACTTTAATAGACTCTTGGCTTTCCCTACATCCCATTGACATGTGCATTCAATAATCCCAAGACCCCTTTTTCCCTAGTAGTAAGTAGACTGCAGTGTGGGTGACATCACTCTCCAGAAGGTCAGCCTTCCCTGGGCTTCCATTTTCTGAGCATTTCTTGCAAAGGTTTTGTTCAGGGGGAACTTTCTTTTTCCAAACTGGCTGCAAACCTGCTGTGACTGTCAAACACGGTGTCTGTTCCTGTGAAGCCGTGATGACTTTTGGATTGCATGCTCCAAAAGAGAGGTTTGTTCTCAAGCCAGAGGGTTTCACTAAGAGAAAGAGCATGTTCGTCCCCTTGGTAGGACAATGTGGTCACCAGTCGGGTCACAGACCTGCAGAGACTTACTGATGTGCTTTACTTCAATGGCAACATGTGCAAATAAAGTTCATGGACTGCTACATTCAGCCGCACCAGGCATCTGTGCGACTGGTTGCGATATCAAGCTTACCAGTTTGTGTGGCAGCTGAAACCTATCATTGTGCAGATTAGAGAGTTATTTAATCCCTGTATGAAACAGCTGCATCCACCACACCAAGTATCGATTTTGGTGTGTCATTGGGCCCCTTGCTCAACATACAGCTTGGGCCAAGCAAATGAGCAAAGCACTAGGATGCATGTTGAATGGCAGAAAGGATAATGTGGAAAAAATTACACCTTTATATAGTTGTATCATGTGGATGCATCTGAAATACTCTGTGCAGACTTTTTTTAAAGAAACTATAAAGAATCTGGAAAACTTCCCACTAGAAGAGAAATTAAATGACTGGTGCTATTCACTTTGAAAGGCACAGAAGAGGGACATAAAAACCTGTAAAACAATTAAATGTATGAAGAAGGGGGATGAGAGAGAACTTCTTCTCTCTTAACATCCCACAAAAAGGGATGGACATTAGGTTGGAACAGAAAAATCAGAGCCACTTGAATGAAGCATGTTCCACTCAGTTGTTTCATAAAACCATGAAAATTACAGTCACAAGAATATCGGGGGTGGGTAACACAAAGTTAACATCTCTGCAAGATAGTAGAGGCCATAAAAATTTGGTACGTAAGCTAAGAATCTGTAGCAATTCATAGGACAGAACTTTATGCTGCTGACATCCCAAGCTCTTGCCCCAGAAAACATAATTTTTCCTACTACAGTAAGAGGGACTCATCTCTAGAAAATCAAAGCTGAATTCCACAGTTCTTACAGCAGAACCGGTCCAGTAACTTCCCTAGATTTCATGTAACTGGAACCTATTGCTTTTTTCCTATCTACCACTATTCTCTCCCTCCTCACAGGCTGGATAACCATAACTTCCTCCTCATCAAGCAGCTACTTTTGCTGCTCTCACCCTGTCTCTCTGAAGTAAATATGCATTCCTTTATAAGCTGCAGTGGACATATCTAGTCCCAAAAGCCTCCTGTAACCCCAGTGCAATCTCTCAACTAACAGTTCAAGGGGTAAAAGGAAGGCTTGCAATTCTCCAAATGTTTATTCAGAAATGTCACATGTTCACCCAGTTTTGGAGACAACAATGTGATTTAGAATTAAAGTATCTGTTTATTGAAATAATACCCTGAAAACTTCTAATTCATAAATATACAAGGGTGTGAGATAACAGCATGCAGCTCAGAGCACTGAAGCTTCAGGTGGGAGAGACAAGGAAAGTCCAAGGCAAGTTATTTACATGTAAAGACTGGCTCAGGCTGGGAGGATCCAAGGTGCAAGAGCTTATTGGTGATGTCAGCTGTTAAACACCAGTGATTTACTCACCTGTCACCCAGTTCATGTGCTTGAAAGCAAGGAGATGAAGAGGTATGAGCATGGTATATCCTGGTTGTCTTACGTTTGGAGGGAAGAATCACATGTGGCTTAAAGCCACCCCAGCATTTCTTGCTCTTTCTGCCAGCAATTCCAAGGCCTCCAGACCAGACCATTTGTGCTGGCCTTTGGGGGATGTCCCAGCAGCCAGAAATTAAAATAGAGTGTGTTTGTACCTTGGCTTTGCACCTATTTTTGAGACCAGGGGACAGCTTGTTACAGCAACTTCTGAAAGGTGAGCACTATGATGGTTGGAATATTTCTGATTCATTATCTTGAGCTTGTTTGACATGGCCAAATGCAGAGCTCAAAGCACTTTTTTGTAATGAGTTATTAAGTTTTTGAGATTGACCTGTGAACACAACTTTAGTTACAGGCTGTCCTAAGCCTAGAGGTCTGTGGTGCAGTGGTGGTGGTCTGCACAGAGCCAGCTGGTCACAGGGTACTGGCTTGCTTCCTGGTTTTTCAGCTGCCAAACTATATTATAGCAAGCTAAAAATACATTAAATATTTTCCTTTCCTAGTATTACCTTACCACGTAAGCAATCGCTGGACTTGCCACTAGGATGTTATCTGATAACTGAGGGGAGGGGAGGGGTCGAGCCCAAATAGGTACTGAGACACTGGAGAGAGTCTGCTTCAGTGACTGTGACCAGGAGGAGAAGCTGTTATGTTTCTATTTAGGTGGGTGATGAAAACATTCCTGAGTGCCTTCTTTAACCCATCTCTGACCACATCTCCCACTACAAGTGCTCTTCAACACAAGCCCCTGAGCTTGTGCAAAATCTCTCCTGCCCCATGTTGTGCCATTTAAGACCAGTTGGGTGGCCATGGGGAGTCTCACACAGCTGACTGGCGTGTGCTCTATCCTTCTCTGATGCTATGCCATCAGAAAAATGATTCAGCAGGTGACCTAGGCTCTGGAGTGTTGCACGTGGAACTGAGGTAGGGACAGTCAGCAAGAAGACAGTCCTGCACTGTATACTCTTCTGATTCTGCCCTGGTGATGGGCAGCCCCAACAGACACCATGGCCCTCTGGAGGAGACCATATCATCCTCAGATGGATTCAAGGTCTGGAGGGAAGTTTTGGGGGTGATGTCAAGCAAAAGTGTGAGAGGCTAGAGAATCTGCTGCACAGGGCAATCATTTGGTTTTGATTGTTTAACCTCACTGGTGTCACATTTGAACACCATTTTGAATTGTTTCTGTTCTTGCCTGTATGATGGAATGAAAAAAAAGTATGAGGCTGCCTTAATACCTCCATTCTCAATGATCACTGCGTTTTTAACTAGACATAGCAGCAATAAAGTGAATGGGAAAGGTCCATCCCTGCAAAAAGCAAAATAGCAACACAGCCTGAAACTAGAGATGAAAGCCCTACTTAACAAGTGAGAGATGTAAAGGGCAGAAGCCATGAAAAGACACTGCATGAGCAAGTGGATAACACTTGACTTATCCAGTAATTCTTCCCAGATTCTTACTAACAGAAAGTCTCTCCAGCAAGGCCACCAGGTTCTGAAATCGAGGTACCATGATCCTGGAGGGAGGCACATTCTTGGTCTCCTAAAACTTCCATAGGACACAATCCCACTTCCTTTGTGTTTCCACACAAATAGCAAATGTTAACTGTAAATGGAGAACAACGTGTCTAACATGCTGGAGCATTTCCTCAGTCTCTCTGTGCCCTCTTCACACTTAACGCATGCTGTGTTGTTAGGCTGCTTCACTTAACTTCCTGCTCCTCCTTCTAGCTCTTAGGACTCTAATTCCAGCACTCGGAAGACCAGGGAGATCAAGTGGTTCCTTTGCACCTCATAAGGCATGGCCTGTCCACCATTTCCATCTACCCTCTCTGCTCTGTGTCCTTTCATTACAGTCAAGAGCTCTATGGTGTGTGTGACATCCCCATTCCAGTCACTGGACACACAGCAAAGTGTGTTGCTGCTCTCATGCCCTCCTCTCCTGCTCTTTCTACAGCTCTTTGCATTCCCTTTGTATGCTCACCTTGCTGCTTCTGCATGGTAGTGAAGTCTTCAAAGGTGAGAGTGCGCACGGGGGGCCTCCAGAAGGCGTAGGTCTCCATAATGGCCTCCAGCCCCGTCCTATGCAAAGAAAATAAAACAAGGAGAGAATAAGAATGTCAGTCAGCTGGGGGCATAGGCGCTGAGGAAAGAAGGCTCCAACCTTTTTTGACAGGCTGCCAGCGGCTACCGAAAGGTCACCTTGGCATCTGTGAATTCCTCAAGTCGTCCTGCACAAGTGCTGGATACCAGAGTAAAATAAAATTTCCCTAACCCAGGATTTCAAAAGCACCTAACAGTCTCTCAATGCCTTTTGCCTTTCTAAAAAGAATCTCAAGCCTCATGTCTGCTTTGCAGGAGACACATGCCTGTCAGCTCCTCAAGGCGTACTTTATCATTGACTGGGCCTCCACACTTGGTGGATGCAAGCTGTCATGCAAACAAAGGAGGTTTGGGATTCAGCCTATAGAATCAGAGATTTTGTGAATTGCCTTTCTCTGCCACTTCCTACTTCTGGACACTATTCTGAAGTGCTGTGGGAAGCCATCAAAAAGGGAATCTTCTTGGTTTTGGACTTTGACTAGAAATGCATAAGATGCTCTTTAAAAATGATCAGTGGCATTTCTGCTTTGGGTCCTTAACTCAGCCCAAAGACATAACAAAAAGAAAATGCCAAAAAATTTGGTGAGAACTTTTCTTCTTGAAGGGTGGGGGTCTCAGATTTATTCTTATTTTCACCAAAAAATGCTAGCTCTGCTGGAAGTCTCTTAGCTCCACAGCCTCGGGGAGGACATAGCTGCATTGTCAGGAAAAGACCCCATGTTCCTTACGAGATAAACCCCTGGAGTTTCTTCCCAGGAAAGGCTCTCCTCTGTGGAAGCTGCACACTGCTCTGTTCCCCATTCCTCACTTTCCCCTGCCTCTTTTCCAGCAGTAGGTTATAGCCCTTGCACTGACTGTACACTACTAGAGATTCTTTGTCAAACATGAGAACATATCCCCTTTCAAAGCAAAAGGCACTAACATCCCCAGAGCCTCTCATCAGATATTGAGCTGACACTGGAGCTGCCTTTTGCTTCTGAAAATGTCTTTCTGCACGTGCCTTCACTCACTCAGTTAACTTTCCAAAGTCTCCCCGGAAGCTTGGATGCTTTAAATACATTGGAGTTGGCAAACCAAACTCTGTATTTTAAGAGGAGGTTTAGAAGAGAGGTTGTTGCATGGTGTTTATTAGCTGCTAAGCTGTTAGAAGTAGAAACAGAAGACATATCTGCATAGCAGTCTCACACTAGTGCTGAGCACATTACAACAAAACTATTTGGTTAATACAGTGGCCTCTGCCAGCTCATAGAGCTGAGAGACAACAAGGCAGTGCAGAATTTGAACCCATCTGCTAAGCTGGGCTCTGTGTGCAAAAGCTGCCCTTCAACTACCGATATCATGCCCAGGATTTCCTCTGCTCCCTGTGTGTGAAAGTCACACATTTTCAGACTCCATCTGCTTCTCAACTCTCACAGCTGGGGAGAGAACAGCACCTTTTTTGCAGCCTCGGGAAATGCTCCCTGGCCCAAACATCAAGGGAAGACTTTCTGGTACCATATATCTGGGGGCAAAAAATGTCCTGAGCAAGTTGCAATGCCACTAGACCTGCTGTTGAAAGGACCTGCCTTGGTGATTAAGACCATGTAATATATCCAAAAATGCAGACTGAAAGTTCCAGCTGTGCTAATTCAGCTGCCCTGTGTCTTCCACAGGATCATGTGAGGAAGCAAGGAGGCCAGCTCACTAAAACCAGTGGACACACAGTCTGGCTCAGTCATTAAATCTCCAGCGTCAGACTTCTAGCTCTGCTCTCATAACTCCCTTCCAGTAAAATCCAAATCCTAATGGGAGGTGGCTCAGGGAGGCAGTAAAAGCAGGTTAATGCTACTACCACTGCCTCTCCCTGCAATTGACTCATTATTCTAAGTTTCTAGCTCTGCATCTACCACCTTCCACTGTATCAATACAGTTCTCACAGGTACCATATAATTTGAAAAGGAAAAAATAGAATAGTCAGGAGAAAATAAAAGGAAGAAATAAAACAGTAAATCAGGAATAATACACTGCTTTCAAGGTTTAGACTCCACTGTGTCTGTGACCTGATAGAGGGTAATTGGCAGCACTGAGAGTACCAGCTTGTATTCCTGCCCTGTATGTCAGGAAAAGGAAAGATGCCACCAGGGACCCACCTCCTCCTGCTCCAGGAGAGCAGTTCTACAACAGCACCTTTGCTGTGGACACAGCTGCTCTCACCCTTCCCTTTCCATACTGCAACTGCTGGAAACAACACTGTGGCTTTACCAGATTCACAGATTGCCCTGAAATGCTGAGGGCAGTGTGGCAGAAGCAGGTACCTGAAGAATGGACACCAAACTCCACAGCTGGTTCTTCCTGTCACTAATGTGAGACCTTTACTCCTCCAGAACACATGTGGAACATGCACTACAAAACATCCTCTCTGAGTATGCGGATGACAGAGCTCAAAGTTATGTACAGTTCTCCTATGCATAAATTTAAGTCCCTATATACTAGAAAAATCTTTTTTCCCATTGGTTTATGGTTTGTTTGGTTTTTTTTTCTTTGGTTTATGGTTTTCGGGGCTTCTTTCGCTTTGTGCAGAAAAAATGTTGTGGGTGGTTTTGAAATAGTATCCAAGAAGAACACATCCTTACTGAATTTTCACATCCTTCCATGCATAAGACAAGATCCATGAGACAGCAGCTTTATGTGCTAACCTGCTAGGCACCTACCACCCCATGTATGGAGTCTTACAAAAGAAGAACATGCAGCCATGCTAAAAAACAGCTTTTGGTGAGAAGGCACACCACCTTTGTGTGACTGATTTTACAACCCTATCCCCAGCCTTTCTTCTGTCTATGATGTATTCCTATTTTTGAAAGAAAATGTTGAGGTGGTGAGGTGGGAATCAAGAAATTAATCCCTGTCAACTCTAATAACTGTGTCTTGTGTAGCAATTTATGACATTGGTGTGCTCTCCTAGTCAGCAGAAATACTGGAGTGCTATTATGCGTGTGTGTTCCACCCCCTAACAGGGAAAAGAAACCCCACATGGCCAATGAAGAGACCTTTTGGGACAGCAATAAATGCTGACAAAAAAATAATTGTTTGCAGCATTTCTGAAATCTCAGTAATATGGGGGGAGCTTTCGTAAGGGCTGCTGGTACCAAGTGTGCTGAACATAATCCATGTGGCATTTATTTTCTCTTCCAAAGAGCCGCACTGAAAAATTAACTTCAAACTATCTATCAGTCCATAAACCCTCCCCTCTCACACCATCTTTATGAAGGAAGTAAAAAGCAAAAGTATCAGAAGAGGACTCACTGCCAGCTTTTTTTTTTTTTAATAAGGTCAGTCCTTTAAAAGGTATCCAAAATTTACTCTCTCTTTTTCATTCATTCTTTTATTTTTAGTGCTATGAAGTTTTAATAATAGGCAATAAATGAAACAGTTCCATTGTCTGAAAAATGAAAGGAGCTATCTGTGCACCTCCATAATCCATCCCATATGGCTGATCTTGCCATTCCCACTGCATGCAGGATTTAGGTCATCATTTCATTGTTCACTGGGGAAGCCAAACTATTGGCTCCAAGTGCCCTGCTGGCTTTCTTATCCTAGACAAAAGCTCAAAGAGCATTTCCAGCACAAGCAACTTCTATTCACTTCAGCTGCCCACATCTGAAAGTCAAGTGCTGTTATTTGCCTTCAGCCTAGGGTTTTTTATCTTCCATCACCCTGCTGAGTTTCCTGACTGTTGTCCCTTCTGGCTTCCTCCTGGATAAGGAGGTCCTGCAAGCATCCCACTGTCAAATCAACTTTGCTTGGTCTCCAAAAATAGGCTCTGTGGCGTTAAACCTGCACCCTTGCTACACAAACATTTGGCTAGCTGAGCTCTATATCTCAAAAACTCTAGTTTCTCAATCCCTTGAAGTTCAGGAAAGAAACCAAGTAATAACCTGACTTGTACATCCATTACATAGGTATCCTTTCACCACCAGGAGCTTCTCTTGTTGCATTTTTACAGATGCTTCATGTGCCTTTCCAAAAAGCGAAGAGGGACCGAAAATCAGGTAGAGGGAATCTCTAAGAAGCAGGAACCAAGACTCAGCCTTCAAACACAGGCTAAACTCCTAATCCAACAAGGCGAATGGCTAGATGGCTGAACACCATTACTTAACCTGGTTTGAGTGCTCAAAGACTGCAAAACATCGTCTAGCTGCTGAGCTGTTTCTATCCTTCCCTCTGAAACCCATCACTGCTCCTTCTTCCAGCTTAGAGACTGAGGCAGTGAGCTATGAAGGGAGACACTCATGCAAATAACTGAAAGAGATCTAAGAAAGCATCTGGGAAAAGATTGCTCCTCCATATGGATACAGGCATTTACACCATGATGGGGTGTCCCCAGAGCAACAGGGTTTTAGCAACCTCTTGTAGTAATGAAGCGAGACCAGAGTCATAAGGAAACATAGGGGAAGGCTGTGAGCTGATGGAAGTGAAAGATTTAAAAGGGAAACTATTTTTAAAAAAATCCAGCTAACTCCATAATTTCTGCAGCAAGCAACAACAGTGAAACAATAAGAGAACAAATAAGTGAAGGGGAAAATATCTACCTCCATTTAATGGAAGAGCCTCCACACAAAGCAGAAAGGCAATGTCCTAGAGAAGAAGTGGCCTAAGAGTTCCTTTTTTCCCAACATGCTCTGCTTTTTCCAGGGTGATTCTTTCCTCCATCATTTGCTGGCAAACTCTAACCATGGCTCTGATTCAGTATCCTTATGTCACTGGGATATGACGTCCTGGAGCTGCCTCAGAATTCTGTCTCCTGCTGCTGCCACACCTTTTTTTTCCTTAAGACCTTCTAAAAACCTCTAAAAACCTTAAAACCTCTTGGACATATAGTATTCAATTGCCTGCTTCAGAAATGGCCCCTTCTTCAAATTAACCTGTTTCTTTTTCAAAGAAGGCCTACATTTTCAGTGGGACATTCTCCAGCCACAGTCTGATGCACTGCAGTTGACTGATGCTGTGGGAAGGATATGCGAATGATGTTTGAAGGTGTGGGAATTTGCAGAGCATCTTGACTGCTAATCCAGCTGACCAGTGATCCTGATGAAATGACAAATTCACAAGGGGAAGAGCCATCAAGCATAGTTAAGAAAAGTCCCATTTGGAGAGTCCTCTCCCCACGCAGCTTGGACCTGAATGTTTTTCTCCCTCTTATGTGTACGTCTGTCTATGTATGTGTCCTCTTGAAAGGGAGCAGCTGAGCATTAGTGTCCTCCACTAGCTGACAACAGCAGTGCAACCTTAGCCAGACTACTGCTTGTGGGGCAGGCGCCTGACTGCTATATACGCTTGCAAATACCTTTGCCTGTTTTTTTCTTCCTAAAGCCTCAGGCTGCTCTCTTTGATGTGTAATACCTTAAAGATTTTAATTCCTCTTTACATCAGCAGAAAGCCTTACTGAGCCCTCCCCACAGCTGCAGCCGTGTAGCAATTTCCTGCCCTTTCTTAAATCAATGAGCTACAAAGATCAGTAATTCCCAACCTTTTCAGGAAACTGTCCAAATTCACTGAGCTAGGACCTTATTAATGCCTTCCATGTTAATATAGCCCACCATGTACCTGGAACTGCATCAATCCCTCTTCCAAACCCAGCCCCCAGTGCAGCTGTATCTCTGCACACAGATCTTGTACCTGGGGCACATCCTACTTCCCACACACAGGAGAGGAGAGCAGAGTAAAAGTCACATATGCCTCGAAGAGAAGTGATGCTCCCAGTGGGGATTAAATGAGAATGGTAGCATCTTTTTGCATCGCTTCTGTAAGATGAGAACAGAGGAGCTGAGCTAGGAAGTCTCTAGGTCAGTTAGGTGTCTGTGACCACAGAAAGTGTAGCATTACAATGTGTGGTGGAAAACACAGGGACTGAACACTGTCCTTAGCAAACTATAAGGACGTAGTGGTCCTGGGGAACACACACAACAGGAGCATGCAAGTAAAAACTGAATTACAGTGCCCATGGGGACAAAAAATGAGGGTTATGCACGACTTTCACTCTGGCTTGCAGAATCTTTACAACCCTAAGCTTCTTGTAATGTACTCATATATGTCTAATTCTATAATTAAATTAATGTTTAAAGCCTTTGTCACACTGATTGAAAGGATACCCACGTCATTTAGATCTGAAATACTCATACAGGCTGCAAATTCTTCAGGATTCATGAATGGCAGAAAAAGCTGAAACTTTGTTTTGATTTTCTTTTTCTTTAATGATAACTCTGAAATGTCTTTTACTATCACAACAGGGGTTTTTGATTAAAGCTCCTGTTTAACTATTACCTGTTAAAATACTTTTTTTTCTAAATAATGCTCAAGGTGTTTTATTTAATCTTTTCATAAAAATCCTGGCAAAAATCAAGCAATACAGTCAAAGTGAAATAATCTGACAACACTGGAGAAAAACAGGAAGTGTTTGAAATGAGAACATTTTGCACTTTTATCCTGCAAACCTATCATAAACTCATTTTTTCTTCTAATGTAAAGCAAGCATTTGCACTCTAAGTTTTGGCATTTCCTGTGAAAATTAAAATTAAAAAATGCCCTTCAGCTAGCTCTACATAGAATAAAGAATAAGGTAGTATTTTGCACAGTGTTAGACTGTGACCTATTTGTCTGTTTTACAGTTTGCAATCCTCCATTTTTCTGTGTTCTTCATTTTAATAACAAAAAAAAATTTAAGAAACTACAGTATCTTTACAAGTTCATTAATTTTACCTAATTCTTTCGATATCATGATACCACATCAGCAATACATGAACAGTTTACTAATAACTTATCAGAGATGCTAAAGAATGTTTTAAAACATGAAAATCACAGAAATTAGCATAAATAAATTAATTATCCAGGACATAAAAAAAGGGAAAAAACCCACCAGCAAAACATATATACAAAATAACAGAAGGGACATTAAGGTAGAAGCAAAGAGAGAACTAAACATATAGCAGCAAAAAAATACAGTCACAGAAAAAAATGTTATCAAGCAGGAAAGTGATAAGCTGTCTTTACAGATATGCTGTCTAAGAATATCTAAACCCCTTTGTCAGGGTTTGGGACCGCAAAATCCAGACAGAGGTAGGAGCAGCACTGGAGGAGACTTCTGAAAAGAAATGGGATCAGTCTAGCTGGCTAACCTGGGAAGTATTTCCTAAAGAAGCCATCATTACACATTAAATCTGTTCAGGTAAAATAAAACGGTCTTTCTAATTCCTCTAAGAACTAGTCTACAGCAAATTTCTCCTGTAAAACGTAATTAGGATCACAAGATGCCTTCCTCAACCTTAGACACATGCCCTGTGCACTCATCAGGGAAAGGAGGGAAGAGATCAGTGAGGAAACACAAACAAGTTCCTGTTACCTGTTTCTCCCAGAATCTCTGAAACCTTTAGCAAAGGGGTTTCTGTCAATTTTTAATCTGGTGATCTAAAAGGAAGAAAAAGAGAATTAGTTGATGTCTTCAAATTTTTCTCTTTAAACAAATGAAAATTACGGATGATTATCGCTCTTACCCAAGCCACCTGTACAGTGATCTTCCATACTTATTTTCCCAGACTTCTGTTAAAGTTGCCCTTCCATTATCCATGAACACACTATCTGCTTACCAGAGAATGGCACCAGAGACAGAAACCACGGCAGTATTAGGAAACCTGGCACAGCACTGGGGCTGAGAAGTTGTTGCTGTCCTGGTCAGCATCTGGGTTGCCCCTCAAGAGTTTTCTGGTCCGGAAATCTTTTTTTCTTTTTCTTTTTTTTTTTGCTCCTTTAAATAAAGGAAGGGGCAGCCAGACTAAGTGCTTTGGGGGCTATCTTCCTTCATGCTTTATTTTTAAGCACGAATTCCATATTGGTAAATATGAAAAATAGCATGAGGATTTTGACCTTGCAGCCTGTGGTATTCTACTCACTGTTGGCTATTCCACAACCTGGTGTAGCACGAGAGCTTTCCTCTGCCTGCCTCACCTTGTCCTGGAGATTCTATCTCTGGAGTGAAAGGAGAGTGAGATCTCCAGATCCTATCAAATTTGAGGTGTTTTTGCTGAAACTGCTCAGAAGGGACTAGTTTAATACAGTCTGATCTGAAGTGGATTTGCAGGTGTTTTGCTTCTGTCAGAACCAAGCCTTTACTCTGAATATTAACCTCAGATCTGGAATGCAGCTCCTATTTTTGCAGAAGCTTAATTTGTGAACTTAATTTCCGCTAGCCTGACTTTGCAGCTGTCCTGGGACTTGTGTGTACAGACACAGATATGTTCTGTAGAGGATGGAATTACAGCAGAGAGAATCCCTGTGGTGGATTTGCTAACATTTTACAATTGTTTCCAGAGACACTTCTCCCAGTAAGACAAAGTTTTACAGCCACTGGAGGGCATGCCGGCAGATTCAGGGGATTTAAATTTGGTTTTAATGAAAAGGTTTCTCCAGCCCACCAGAATCTCCTTACTGGTATTATAAAAATGTGATTGTGTCCCCCAAATTTTTCTGGACAAAATCCCCAAATGTTTGGGATTCAGAGAGGCAGAAACTTTGGTGCTTATTTAGAGTGAGGCAGCTTATGGTACCAGTCTGTGACAGGGATCCCTCCCTTACCACCTCCCTTACCTGTGTAATTATGTCTTAAAAGTCTGGTCATGAAGGAAAAATGACAGGCTTATTTCCTCTCATTTTTTCTCCTTTCTCTATCCTCTTTTCATGTCTGGGTTACAGCTAAAGTTTTTGGAGTATATGCATTTGGCTGAGAGGGGTAGGAAATTTCCCATACTGCAATTACAGAAATCCCACCATCATGTTCCAATATTTTTGATCCATTTCGGATCCTTATTTAAGTCAGTTTGAGGGGACCAGACTGAGAAAAAAAGTTAGTAATAATGGGAAGAAAAAGAAGCAGTCATAGGAGCATTATCAGCATGTGTGTTGTCTTATATGTTGCAAAAAAAAATCCAACTCTATGACATTTCACTAAATTGTTACAATTCACAATTGTTAGAAATTGCTTAAATATTACAATCTGCCTTAAGCTAATTTAATATGGGTCTGTCCCTCAGTCCAAAAATACTAAATATAATGACATCCACTGAGTTCATGAAGTCATTCTCTGCAAGCACAGTTGTTGTCATTGAAAAAATACTAACTTCATAATTTTTTTCATCAGCTTTTTTCCATTCAAGACTCCTCTGCAATTCATGGCTGGAAACTATATAATCTATTGCTCTAACAGGTTTGATAATATATTATTTTTATTCCAGGTGGGTTTGTACCCTCATTCTAGTTTTATAACAGTAACTTGCACTCTCTAAGTGGACACACTGTTAACGCAGCAAAAATCTTCAATAACTGACATTCTGTTTCACATGGCTGGGGAAAAAAATTACCTTATGCAGCCCTTTTAATGCCATCACAACCCATACCCCAGTGAGCAGGAGAATGCCAGGAAAGGGAAATGGGATGTTCCTCTCACCTGAGAATAAAACAGGGAGTATGTGTAGACAAACGAGAAGGCAAGCTCCCTGAACCCAAAGCATGACAGAGGTTCTGTGAAGGCTAATGAGAATCTCTGAGGCAAGGGCAGCTGGCAGATGAGCAATACATAAGGAGACTACAAAAACAATGGGTGGATATAAGGAGCTGTCAATATGTGCAATGAATGTGCCTGAAGACGCGATGAAGCAGGACACCTCACCAAAGAGTAGGACACAATCTTTCACTGGCCACAGGAGAAGGGAGAGCAAATGTCTACAATCAGAGCCCCACCCAACCCAGCCTTAAATTAAACACCACCAGGGATGGGGCATCCACAGCTTCTCTTGGGCAACCTGTCCCAGTGCCTCACCACAGTAAAGAATTTTTTTCCTAATATCTAATCTAAACCTACTCTCTTTTAGTTTGAATCTATTCCACCTTGTCTTGTCACTACACACCCTTGTAAAAAATCTCTCTACATCTTTCTTCTATGCTCCCTTCAGATACTGGAAGGCCACAACTTGGTCACACAAAGCCTTTTCTTCTGATCTTTATTTACAGTGGGAAGCGTTTTTTTCCCCTGTCCCCAGTCTGCTGTCCACCCACTCAAGAGGTCAGAAGAGAGTTTGCCATTGAAGACTGATGCAAAAAAGTTAAGTACCTCAGCTTTCTCCTCCTTTGTTGTTACCAGTTTTCCAGCATTGTTTGTTGGAGAGGTACACCTTCCTGAACCTTCCTTTGCTGGTTAACATACCTGTAGAAGCCCTTCTTATTATTTTTTCCAGGTTCAGTTCCAGCTTTGCCTTGGCCTTCCTCACCCGATCCCTACACAACCATACTTAATCTCCTTACTCTTCCCGGGTTACCTGACCTTGTTTCCACTGCCTGTGCATTTGCTTCTTTCCCTTTAGTTTGAGGTCCCTACTCAGCTATGCCAATCTCTTTACTTCCTTGCTTGATTTCTTGCTCCAGGGAATTGCTAACTCTTGGCTATATAGAAGACTTCCTTAAAGATCTGTCATCTCTGTTTTATCCCTTGTTCCTGAGGGCAGTCTTGAAGGGGGTCCTATTGACTAACTTCTAGAAGAGCGAAAGTTTTCTTTCCTAAAGCTCAGGGGCCTAACTTGACTCCTTACCTTAGGACATTTATGCCCGACGATTTCAGTTCATATGCAATACAGGCGTTCACAGACTTATTTTGTCAACAAACTGATGAGATTGCACTTCTTTAAAAGTTTTTCCTTCACTGCTATAAAAAACCCCACTATGTGTTTTCTTTCTGAGACAACAGATCTGGACTAATTGTACTACCTTAAAATTGTAGCAGGGACAAGATACAGTAATTTGTACCATGAGACAGCAAGGAAATTTGAACACAATACATCTCTTTATGATTGATCTCACCCACTTACATTACAGAAAAAGATACAGCCATCTTATCTCCAAGGTGGTTTTCTGACTAGATACTTGATATCTACACACTACCCCATAGCAAGTATTTTCTTTTTTACCCTGTAAAGTGTACACTCTTCTTTAGCTTTGTTTCGTAGAGAAGAAAAGGTCTCAATCACAAAGAGCACACTGATATTTTTATGACCACACAACATAAAAGGAGCCTGAAGGCATACATCTTTACCTGTTGATTTTGGTAGGCTGTCACTGTGGTGAAAACTGTCTCAGGGAAGTTAAAAGTTTTCACCCCGTCTCCTGAAGGAACTGGCTTTGTAGGAGAAAGATCACTGCTGAAATCCTTGCGGATGACATGAACACGGGGCTGGTATTTATGCATTGAATGTAAGATTATCTGAAGAGAAAACAAAAGGAAAAGGACTTCTTTTCTTTCCCAAATATTTTACACTACATCCAGATGTACAAGAAAGCAGGGGTGGAGTAAAAGCTAATATGATGAAAACTACCCTTTTCTTACAAGCATGTATGAGACAAAGTTTGTGCTAAGTGCAGAGAGAAAGCTGCTTTATTGCTTTATACGGTCAGGCAACAGTTCGAGGAAAAGCACTGAAATAGGGAAAAAGCTCCATAACTCTGGAGAGCAGCTACAGATGTGTGCCGAACAAGACAGAGGAGCATCAAAGCAGCAGCAGCACCCTTTCAAGACTGAGAGGAGCAAGGCTGGGACAGCAGGTACCACAATTAACTTCTAACTTACGTGGCCTTGATCATCAAGCTCATTGTTGGTCAGCTTGAGCTTGTCAAAACTGACCACCTGCCTCATCCAGGTGTCTCCAGAAGCCAGTGAGTCGGGGTGGATGTAAACCCTTGGGGGTACTGGAGAGTCAGCATTGCCAGCCACCATCCACTTGGAGCTGTGATACACATACCTGAAAAAGGAAGGGTAGACCTAAGGGAAGTTGTCACTCACTCACTGTAGGAATATGTCCAGAGTTCTTCCACCCCTGCCACCCTACCGCATGCACCTCAAGCTCTCATTTGCAGTCAGGGGAGAATGTGCTTTATTGCAACCTCCTACCTTCTAAATGAAAGCCAGATTATCCCTGAGCCACTTGTTCAGACTTGATTCCTTATTAAAACCTCCTTGCAGTTATTTTCCCTGTAAAACTCTGCCACATGTGCCTTCTCAACTCCTTAACCCTCTCTGAGCCAGAGTAAGAGGCTGGAAAATATGGATAAACTAAGTCCTCTCTGAAAATATTAATAAATGCCCTGGGATTTCTGGAAATCTGCACTGGATCTCATACCAGATTTTGCAAAACACATGTGGCTTCACCTAGAAAGGGTAAAAGCCAATAGATACCACTAGAACAATTGCTAAAACAGAATTTCTGGTTTGAAATGCTGCAAAACAGGAAATTCCATATGGTATTACATACATTGGGATTAAAGGAAAAAAATTATTTTTGTGTTCCTGACCTTTTGTGCTCTTTTGTGTTCCTGATCTAGCCATCCTATATATGCCATAAATTTTTCTACCACAGCTTTGCCCAGACACTTTTTTTTCCTGTCCTGCAGCTAGTTCCACCTAAGGCATTTCACAAAGAGTCCTGCTAACACCTCTAAGTTCTGCCCTGTGCTGCCCCTCATTGGGTCTCTACTCAGCTCTGCTAAGCTGTTTCAGTCTCTACCTACAAAGAGTGACTAATTTCCTGTATTTTCACAAGAAATGAAAAGAAAAAAAAGGTCTGTTCCTTTCACTGCTAGTTTGCTCAATGGACAGAAACAAAGGGTAAGACAAGATATTTATTTTCAATGTTAATGTTGTCAGAACCACACTCAAAGAAACAAAAAAAACCATCCAGCTGAGTATCAAACACTGTCTTGATGTTTCCCCAGGAAAAGCATTTTCCTGAGAAACGCTCTGCACAATTTGAGAGCAAAAATGTAGTATTTAGCATTTGAAGCATAGGGTCAATTTCAAATCACTGAAATGTGGTTCAGTCAAGACTGTTAGGGGGAAAGGGGTCTTTTAATAAGAATACATAAATCACCTCTGTCTGGATAGTTTTCTGGGATGTAGGGGACCACGAGTTTTCCAGAGTATATTTAAGGGTCAGAAGCCCATTAATATCAAAGAAATCTCTTCTTCCTGTCTTTCAGCTCAGTGGTGGAGGGTTTCTCAATGACTCCACACTGTAGGTCAGGGATCAATATTCACCGTGGCTGCTGTGCTGGACAGTGAATGCTTTTAAAATTTAAATCACCCAATTCAGTTCAGGTCAGACCTGAGGTTCCTGTCTTAGTTCAGCTGCTGCTTGGCCATTCCTTTCTTGCTGAAGAAGTTTTAGAGACTGCAGACTCCCCATTGATAACTCCAGTTATCAGTTCCCTCAGAAAGTTGTAGCGAATCATGTCAATTAGGAAATGCATGGCAGGGAACTCCTCAATTAAAAACTGCTATTTGAAAAGAGAAAGATTTAAATCCAAAGAGACTGTATTAAACCTCTGGATTTGTGTCTCATGATTCTGGTCAAATCAACCACGTTGGTATAAATCAACATGGTCTCCTCCAGCAGACCTTTGCAATGGTGTATAATTGGCAGATGTCCTTGCAAGGCTGTCATGAACAGTAAGTTATTATAAGGTTCCTACCTCTGCACTTAAAAAGCTTACCTGTATCTCTTGTTATCCACAGGGACAATGTCCATGGCAATATAGTACTGCTGGTGGGGATCCAAGCCTGTAATTTTCACCCTCATGGCTGGAAACATTCTCCTAGGAAAATAAGAGTAGAAATAAGGAAGAAAAATGGTGAATAAGGACACTGAAGTGGGTCCTTATACCTCTTTCTGACACCAAGAGCATGCTACTTTACACAGCCCAGTACTTGCTATGACTCCTCTGGACTTGGTGTGGGTAGAAAAGACTGTGCTGGCAGTGGTTTGAATCTTCAAATTTTTCCCACTTAGGAAAAGGGGTAGCAGGATAACAACCTGTAAGTAATAATAAATACTCACAGTCAAGCACTCTGTTTCCAGTTCATAGCAGACACTTCTACTATACTTTACACAGATTGTCCTCTCTAAGGCATTTTTAGGTAGTATTTTGTGCAATCTTTTTAACAAATGTTGTCTTTCTATGCCAGGTCTCTATCAAGCATTTTCTCCTGATAGGCAAATTATGAAACTATAACCAAGAAGAATCAATTCCCAGCTTTTCTCTTGTCTGAGCACAAGTTTTGGCTCTGCTGTACACTAGTCACTGCTCTGGAAGTGTTTGTAGCAAGGCAATTATTTCAGAAGAGAACAGATCGGAACAATTTTAAGATGTCAGTGATAGTGTGGCTATGGCATAATTTCTCATTCTTAAAAACTTTATGGTGGCCAGTAGACCAATATCTGTTCTATACCTCCCTCAAACTGCATGCTAAGGGAATTGCTTATGCTGTATTATATTTGCAAGTAATGTGATATTTTCACAACTTCATGAAATCTGAGGAGCAGAACTGCGTGAAGTGCAGACGAGAACAAGCAGCAGGGCAGAGCACTGAAAGAAATCCTGCATTGTTTCACTGGCTGTTAACTCAAACCTGAGCTCTACTTGACTGGCTTTTTAGCCCTTATCTGAGAAAAACTTGAGTGGATGTCCTATAGGATGGTGTTACTCAATTGCATGACTTCTACCTAGAAAACGCAAAGGTTTGGTAGGAGACACTCTGAAAGTATTGCATGCTCATACAAAATTACATTCTACTTCTCTGACAAGTAGGCATATCCTTATGGAATGAAGGTTTGGATGGAAGGAGGATATTAAAGGGGAATTTAAAATCATAATGCCAAAATAGTGGAAAAGTGTACAAGAAACGTTGTCCACTTTTTCCAGCAGCCACCCCTAGAAACCATCATGACACTTTCCTTTCTATTTAGTGAGAAGCAGTGAAACGTCAGAGAAGAAGATTTAATTCTCCCACAATTTCTGTTTCTCAAGGTATTACTAGTGGACATAGCCTGGAGGAGGGAGAAAACAGGAAATTTTGTGTCAACATCTCCAAACATGTCTCTTAAACTTTTCACTGCAGGGATGTGACCATGACAAGATATTTTATTCTTTCCCATCCAAGCCACACAGAGCCACTCGCAGAAGAGAGTGAGAAGGAGGAGGTTTGTGTTCAGCCTTTACCTTACCCACAGCTCTTTCATTTCAGACCACACTCAGAAGATAAGTTCTGATCTATTAGCAACTGCAACTGCTTTGGAAAAGGGCATTTCTCTTGGGGAGTGGGGAGAGCACCACAGTCCAGCTGCCACAGCACAGCTAACCCGAGTTATGAGAGACATAAAACTGTCAGAAAAATCATCTGCAGAAACCCTTCAAGGACAAAGCAGATTAGTGCAGCTGATGGTGTGAGTTTACTAGTGAAATGACTTGGGGGGGGGAAGAATAATGGATTAGCCTTTGGTGGCTTGAGGGCATTACCTTGTTTCTACCACAATAGCTCATTAAATCTGCCAAGCCAAGTGGGTACAGGATGTAGCATTTTACAGTCAAGCTCTCCTTAATTAGATAGAGGTGGCTTGGGAGCAGCTAAAGAGGCAGGTCATGTTTCAGAGGGTTGATGAGAAACGCAGGATTAAATCTGAGTCTCTTTGGGTCCAAGACCATGCACTGTATTGGGAAAATTGAACACTCTGTGTGTCCCAAGAAGCTCCCTCCAAATCTGCAGCCCCGTGTAAAGTTGCAGTATAGCCTGTGGGGTTGTTGCTGATGAAATACCTTGTAAAAGATTACCGCAGACCATTCAGCAGGCTTAGAGGCTAATCTCTAAAATGATCGGAGAGAGCTCGGCTGATCCCACTGCTTTCTCTAAGATTTAAGTGAACTTTTAAAGTTTTCTAAATTATTACTGTTTTTCTTTTTCTGTGGGTGTAAAAGTAACTTAGGTTTCTTTGCAATAAGGATGTGGCCTGGAACTGTCACAGCAGGTCTCCGGCAGCACTGCTGCGTGGAAAGGGGAAAATGGAAAAGGCAGAGGCAAACAGTGGTGACTTAGGGATGTACCACGTGTAATCCTGGTAAAGTCCTTGTTCTCTGCATTTCCTTTTGGTTGGCTCTTGGTCGGCTTTTGGTCCCCCAGAGGCACCAGCCTTATAGAAAACAAGGGCCTCAAAGGTTTGGAAGGAATTCAGGCCATTTGAATATGGCTTATGAATATGATATGAATAAACAGGCAAGAATCTTTCATCTAGACAGATATCAGCTAGCTTTATACTCAACAGCTACAGATATGAAGGCTGTCTGTTTTCATAGGGAACATCTGATGACATCTGATATATTTTAGGAAGAGGTTTTATATCAGCAGCAGTTTGGGATGATCAAGTTATTTATATGTTAGCTTTACCACTAAGCAGGAAAACAAGTCTTCCTAAACTTAGACTGTGAACTTACACACAGTACCCTTTTAGGAGAAATATGATGTGATATGAAATAAGTTATTAAATTACTTTAGGACCACTTAGAAGTGTTTTAAAAAGCATTTTAGTAACAACCATATGCCTTAATCTACTCAATTTCTGTTTTCTTTCGAAATGGGAGTGAGGTTTATGAACATCAAATGTGAAGAAAACTAATGGTATATAAACATCTCTAAAACTTGATCATTATTATCCAGCACTGTAGTGTACTAATATTAAGAACCATGTTTGTGAACTTTCAGCAAGAGAAAGAAGTAGTTGGATTTTGGCAACTAGCATTATATTTTTGTTGTTGTTGTTTAAAATTTTCATTTAACACAAAAAATAGTATTTGATATTCCTCTGTGAAAATTGTTCAAAGGAGGTATATCAGGTGTAACAGGTGTATCCCCAAACTGGATTTTTTCCCTCAGTAGAATAAAGCTTCAGTTTTTAACCCTTAAATTAGAAACTTAAATAAGATTAGATTTGCATAAGGGTGACATCTGTTAAATACAAACCCTAAAATGAAGGGCTGTGCTCTTCAGTTGTAGCAAAAGACAGTTTGTCAATTGACAGTAACAGAGTAGTCATTTCCCAGACATAAAAAAATCCAATAGAGAAACTCTACAAAATAATCTGTTTTAAGTTTGCAGATTTAGTGTGTACAGTGTTTACAGTGTGTGCGAGTTTACAGGGCAGCCTGAAGTTACCATTGCTATTTCATATCTTATATTTCCTTGCATTTAAGACTGATGCCAAATGATATTTCTTTATAAAAAAACAAACACGTAACGTGTGAGGGAAAGAAAGGCAATGCAAGGAAAGGCAAGGCAGGGCAAGGCAAGGTAACAGAGGAATGCCTTTCTGTTTCCCTCTGCAGCATGGGATCATGTAGAGGAGATGTTTGTTTTGAGAGGAAAAGCTGAGGGCAGGGCTTGGGAGCAAAAGGATTTATTGTTTATGAGGGAGAGGGAGATTAGCAGATCATCTCAGTTGCTCCCAAAGGGGATATTTTTCTGGAAGCTGGAGAAAACTTATCTGACCCACTGGGCCAGGACCTTTAAGCAGCAGTTTGGTAGCTGTAGCCTGCCAGCCCTTGCTCTGAGAGGTTCTCTCCATGGGCCCCTTCAGCATCAATAGAGCTTCATTACAAAATCCCTGCTGCTGTCACTAACTGAAGAGCACTGGAAATGAAAAATAACGCTTGGTAATGTAAACAGCCCTAAGTACTTGTTTCAAACAATTCAGACTCATGATTTTAGGGAGGCAAGGAAACTCCATGCAAAATACTGTTCCACCTACAGGAGGAGTCAGGAGAGGACAAGGTCACAAGTTCACATGTTCCACTCACTTCTGGCTTTTTCCACTCTTATTACCGAGCCTGGCCTCAGCACTTTGGTTTGAGCCATCCTGCGGTACGGATATGATAACTGTGATACGACACATGAGATAATTTCCCCTATTGTTGAGATGAGATCCTGCCTCTGTGACAGGTAAAACCTGAGTGCCCAGAGCAATGTGGATGTGCTGGTATGCATGGTCACACTCGTATAACCACCTCCATAAACAGTAGCCAGCCATTCCCTCCCAGAGAAGGACTCCAAGCACTCTTTACAGTGTATTCCTGCAGGAATAAGTGCACATTGTTTCCCATTTTGGGCAGTACTTCTATACATCAGTTAACAGTTACCCCTGCAACTCAGATGGCCATAGACTTTCGTTAGGGATTGTAGAGATGACAGGAGAGATTCAAGTTCCTCTGCTGATATTGCCAGGGTACAAGCATGATCACTGTTAGTAAAGGAGGGTAGATTAAAAGAGTTAACGATGGTTTTAGGTCTAGTTGCTCAAATCAGTATGGCTCGGTGCTTAAGCTGAATTTATTTTATTTTATGCAGGGTCTAAGATTGCCTTTCAAACAAAAAGGAGATAAAGGTGATTGCAGATTTGAATGCACTGCAGCTGACAGCCATTTGCATCTTTTGCATGAGGAACAAAGGTGTCTTGTTATAAGCATCCGATTAAAATTTGAATAACAATATTTTGATGAAAGGGAAGAAAGGAAAAATCATAAGAGGACTGGAATAAGTTATGAAAACAGACAAAAAAAAGACATCTGTAAATATAGCATCAAGAAAAGAAAAAACAAAGCAGAATTAAATATGAGTAAGAGTGGGAGTCTGAAAGTCAAAAAGTGTAGTCAGCCTGACATAGTCAGAATATAGGTCCAGAAATATGTTTGAAATGATAACGTAAGTTAGAAACTAGCATTACATAGCAAGAACAGAAAGACATTGTGCGGTCAAGCAAGAACCAAGCAGTGCCTTACAGGTCATAGAAAATTAAGGAGCAGCTGTAGTTCTAGGCAACTGAGTCTGTAATTATAATGGCTTCCAAAACAAGAAGGTCTTAGAGGATTCAAACAGAGTTTCCACAGAGAAAGCAACAAGAGCAAAATCTTCTGTGGGGAAGGAAGCAGACGCAAATTACCCTGTGCATCTCTCACAATTCCAATAAGTAGTAGGAAATTTTGAGGAAAGAACACAAGCTCTGCTATTTTTTCCAGAAATTATACATACTAATCTATGGGATGCATCACGTATCATGCATCCCACGTGGAGAAACAGGACTACCTGAATCAGCTCTCACTCATCACTAACACATCTTCTCTGAAAGAAAGATGTTTAACCAGAGAAGTTAAACACCTCATTTGGAAATGTTATCATATCTGTAAGGTCCATCCTCAATAAACAGGAATATTACCTAAACAAACTGCCCAACTCTTCATTTTGCTTTGCAACAGTCAACCTACAAATATAGTCAACAGGAAAAAAAAAAACAACAAACCAAACCCCTCCAATATTACTAACATCACTTCCAGAGAAGAATATCATCAAGTAGAAAAAACCCATATATTTAGTAGCTACAGCTACGTAGATTTTCTGTGGGTAGCCAGTGATGAGACAGTTGGCCATCAGAAGTCAAGTAAGCATCTCCTTTCAAGGAGAAAGAATATTATTTAGGATTATAAAGAATTTATGATTTGCACAGTAAGACATGTAAGTGATACATGGTCTTCCATAAGTGGAAAAATTATCCAAAGAGGAGCTTGCAAAGGCACTTGAGAATATTATTAATGGTGTTATGGGAAAAAAATTCTTGGAAAGAGAAGTATTCTTTACAGTCCATACAGGTTTTCCTATGTCTATTTCCTTCTAAAAATTATCAAAATACCTATTGCTTTGGACTCCTTAAATAAAGTTAGTGTGTCTGTCTTTCTTCACATGTGCTATTAAACACCTCTGACAGATGCATGAATAAGGAAAGAGGTATTTCATCAGAAGATGCAGATCAAGATTTTGACCGAAGAATAGAGACCTCTTCCAAAACATGAGCCAAAATCAAAGAAAATTGAAACAATTTTTTTTTTTCACTTGGGGCCAACTTGAAATAAAGAGAAAAAGATCAGATGAGGGAAGTGAATTTGAATGTTTGACTTTGCAATGCTTCTTTACTAAATGGGGCTCATTTTTCCTGGCATGGTGTTTCTCTGGAATTGTAGTTCAGCTCCATCATGTACCTACATGGAGGGAACTAAATACACCTCACAGTAATTCTTAATCAGCTTTCTCTTATTACTGTGGAATTATGGATAGATATCTATTGTTTGGTATGGTGATATGCGATGTGGGAAGATGTATTTGTCCGAAAGGCAACATGAATCGCAAATTCCAAGAACCATTGCTGACATTAAACATTTCAATTCATACATGTCAGAACAATAGTTTTAGATCAAAAGTGTCAAAATACATAGTTCCAATCAACAAATAAGAGTTTACAGTTCAAGGAAAGCTGATGAAAATTTCCAACCAAGAGTTGTTTAAAAAAAAAAAAGAGAAAACCCAAACCTAGAAGTGCATTTAATTCTGTGTATTTTCCTAAAAACTTTTAAGGAACTACAGAACCTTTTTTTTTCTTTATATGTACATCAGCCTGACCAAACTCTTCCAAAGTATTCAATTTCATTCTATCTCTCCCCAGAATGTTTTACTGTGGTTTTCATTCCAGAACACTTCCTTTTGCAGGATCCCTGCCAATGATGTCAAGGCTTCTGGGAAAAGTTGCATTGAACTATTTGCAAAATTCCAGTGGCATTGATGTTTCAACTTTTTTGATGACTTGAAAAAAAAAAAGAAAATCACCCTATGATCAGGGTATGGCTTTTTAAGATGTCAGAAAGGTCAGCTACTTCATTCAGAAAAGTGTGAGCTGATGAGATCATCTCCATACCACTATGTTCTGGGCATTTTACTTTGAACTAGTGTTGGTAGGCTTTAAGATATTTATGTTGCTCTTTAGTCTATCTACTCCATGTATCATATGAGAATTAAATATAGTTAATCCGACAGGTAATAATGTATTATTTTACATTTCTGAAACAGCATGGTCCAGGCACCAGTATAATAAAGTCAGAAACAAGGAATTTGGTTCTTCCAGTGCCATAGATCACCTAATCTGTTTAGGTCTCCATTTCACCCCCTATGAAAAGGGAATAATAATAAATTTTCTCTGTGTTTGCTTTGACATCTCCAGAGAAAAGGTGTTGCACAATAGCAAGTGATATAATTCCTGTTACTTTGCCTCTTCCATTTGAGACAGAAGGGCAAAACCAGCAGCCCACCCTGTACTGACGCAAGATGCTTCCTGTGCCACTGAGATCGTATATCTAACACTGGGAGCTAAACCGGCTCTGATAATCTTTTTGGGCGATCATCTGGGTTATATGTTCAATGTAACTTTTTCAAATTATCTGGACTTCCTAAGAACAGAAAACAACAAGTCTAGCTGTTCTGGAAAATTCTGAAAGCACAGATATAAAACAACACTATAAACAATAGAACACCATGAGTTTTCCCCAAAACTTGGGGGGAAATCTCTTCTGGATCCCTGAGGCAGGATCGGGACAGCTCCCAGGGCAATCACGGGATCTGCTCGCCATGGTGGGATCTCTCCATGGTGCTGACATTCTCCTTCACTCCATCAATCGGAATTAAAACCTCATTAGGTGAAGGTGAGGAACAGACTGTTAACACAAATGTGACTAAAAATCCTAGTTTGGGGGATCTAGAAATGTACAACTAGCTTCAGGTTTTGTTTTGGCAAACAGACGTCTAGCTATTTTTTAATAGTAGACAGCAATGAAGATCTTCCCCTTGGCTAACAGCATGGCAGAGTGGGTTTTTCTTTCTAAAAGAATCTCGCTTATTAGTGGCTCTTCCTAATCTCAGCTGACGTAGTATCAGCTGCAATAGCCGAGGAAAACATTAAGCCTGCACATTTTTTATACAGGACATCATTTATCTATGTAGAACTGCAGGAAGACATTAATTTGGTGCAAAGGTGAGTTTGAATTTCACTGTATTTGAGATTAAATCAACTGGATCATGAAGTGCAATGGTAACTTGAAAGGAAACTCAAATGGCTCACCCCCAAATGCATAACTCATTTTAAATTCAGTACAGCCAACAATACAATGATCGTTTCCTGATTTATTTGCTCAAAGAAAAGATCATTCTCAACAGTTTCCTGCAGCTGTGAGTTCTCCCTTGTAGCCACTTATTCAAGTAGTAATATGAAGCAACTTTACTTGTCTTAAGGAAGATAGTAGGAGATGCAGCTCTGAAACTCTGACAGTCATTTAATTTTTCCTGTGTATTTATTCCTTTGTCTTATCAAGAAGGAAAAAGAAAAGTTTCTTTATCTAAAAAAAAAAAAATTCTTTACTTTGTTTGGTTATGATTTCTTTTTTAACTAGACAGAAAGCCAGAGATGTCTTACCTGCCTGCTTTTGTGATGATCATCTCTGTCCCAATGTCATGAAATCTTTTCCAGAGGTCAGCACACTGCAGCTCTACCTGGATCTCTTCCATGGATGAAGGTGGAGGAGGCTGAGGGCCTGAGCCACCAGATGTAAGGTCAGAATGGGAGCCAAATGAGCAGGATGTCCTTTCTGTCAGCACCTCTGTGTCTGACCCAGTGCTCTGCTCTGAGTCTGCAAAGTAAAGAAGTCAAGTAAGATGCTCCAGTTCTACCTACTGTGAGTGTTAAAGGAGGGAAGAGGGAAGTCAATACAGAAAGTGCTAAAGAATAGTACAGTGCCCTTTTATAAGGTGTATATATGTATAACACATATATATTTATGCTTTGTTGTGATTTATAGCCTGATTTGGGGCTTCGGGTTTTCAACATGATATCTGGCATTTTTGTAAAGTTTTAGAAACAGCTGAAAAAAGGACCCTCAGTATAAAATAAAAATAGTACCAAGCAATGCAGGGGATGAAGTACAAAATATAGATTAAAAATATAAATGAAAAACATGCATTCAATCCATAGTTTCAATCTAGGATTAGATGGGCTTACTGGAAAACTACATTACATTTAATTGAATATTGTCCCACGCTACTATTGAAGAGTTGGTTATTTTTAAACAACACTTTTTTTTTAATATATTAACATCTTTTTTATCAAAAACAATGAACGCGTTTTTATTGTGTTATATGGCAGCACTGTTTTGGAAATGCTTTATTTGCTCCTATAAAACTTTTTTTTGAAGAATGATATTTCCTGAGAAGATAACCATGCAGCTTTTGGTGAATAAAATGCTCTAGGCTACAGAAGAACAAAAAAAAAGGTGATAGTAAACACATGGAATATGTTACCAAGGAAAGCAATTGAAGTAAACTGCAGAAAAGAGCACACAATGCAACAACCTCTATGGGGGAGAAGAAGAAAAAGGCTTGCTCAAAAAACAAGCAACCAAACAAAAAAGTGAGGTTCAACTGGTTTGATAGTCCAGGCTGTCATATTGGGTCAGGGTCAGCCATTTCTTTGCAAAAATATCTCGCCAATGTGGTAGGTAGGTATGGTGTTTATATACAGCCCTCATTCTCATACAGTAGGGCTAAGATGCAATTTTGCAAATAGCAGTGTTATTTTGAAACAGGGTGCATGCTTGCATTATATCAAATTAATTCACAATACATTCTGCAAAGTAATGTGTTTATGTCTCGAGTCTGATTTTTGACAAATCGGCACCAGTATTATATAGATGACTAACAGCAGAATAAAGTGATGTGACACACTCCACCAAAAGGCTCAGGAAGAGCTCTGTGGATTTCAAACAAGATTCAGAAGCATTATTCTTGAGTGTCCTCATTGATCACATAAGTACAAGCAATCTCAGTGAAGGAATAAAACGACTATTTACACGTATTCTCTGCACTTAAAAAAAGAAAGAGATATCCCTGTCCGCAAGAGAAACCTAAGGAGACAAAAAGTAACAATCTGTGCTAAAAATGTGATTAAATCACACCATCTAAAATTCCTTCCATACCAAGCAAATGCCTTTAAGAACCCTGAGGTCATGGAGGCTGAGTCTCAGGTTTACAGTGTTTCTGAGAGACAGTGTCTGCAGGAGCAAGCTTGCACATCAGTGCAGAGAGCAACAGTCAAGAAGACGCAGGCGGTGAAGATACCACCTGTGGAACCACCAGCCCCATCTCCTGCCACATAGAAACATTTCTGGAATATCCATTTTGCTGCAGGGGTATGGACACAAACTCTTTGGCTGATAGTATAAGAGAAACTTCCAGTCCCAAGTGTCACCAGGAAGCATTTATCTTTTGTGAGAGCCCTAGGTGACATCACTGGACAGTGGACATTTTGCTCAAAGGATGTTTCCAGAAAGCTCTGTCAATTATTTAGACAATCCGCCAGTACAACGTAGAAATTCTGTAGGACACTAGAAGGGTTCAGGATGTATTGCTCCCAATCCATTTTGGACAGGGAGTCCTTTATGTCTCCCACAGACTTCCAAGTCGGGCTGAAGCCTTAATAGGCCCACACTTCTAAAGGAGTAGCACAAAATTACCAATGTAGGATTGTTACATAGAGACCAGTACTACACTCAAAACTGATGTCCTAGACACAAGGTGATTCAAGATAATACGGGATACTTGCTGAGGTTCTGTGGCCACAAGATGGATAATCAACCTGAGAATACAGAGAGGCTGAGACATTTGCTCCCTGCTTCACTACCCCAGTGATGTAGGAATGAGGTGATCCTTATCTGCTTCCTCTTGCTCAAATTATTCCACCTACAAGAGTTGGAGAAGGTAAGCCTGAGTAGAGGTCACTATGCTTATGTCTTCCTAGGGATGGTTAATCACTTTGTCCTTCAACAAAAAGGAAGAGGATGCTTCAAAAATCACAGTATCTGTATATATCTGTGATATATCACAGATATCTGCTCATGTGCTGAACCAGAAGTCTTACATTTTCTCTGAGGTCACAGAATCACAGAATTCATTAAGTTGGAAAAGACCTCTGAGATCATCAAGTCCAACCTACGACTGATCACCACCCCATGTCAACTAGACCACGGCACTAAGTGCCACATCCAGTCTTTCCTTAGACATCTCCAGGAACAGTGACTCCACCACTTCCCTGGGCAGTCCATTCCAACATCTAATCACCCTTTCTGTGAAGAAATTCTTCCTAATGTTCAACCTAAAATAAAGCTAAACTACACTGAGAGTCTAAAGAGACTGGACCTAGGGAAAACCTTCCATTATGGAGTCCTCCTCCTAAAATGATGTACCAAACTGTAGATTTGAATCTAAAGAGGCTGATTTAGGCCACATCACTTGTGCTTGGTTGAGGCACTCAGAAACTCAATGCGTCCTCTGAAGCAGTATAGTAAACGGCCAACAGATGGCACTTGGCTAGATGCTGTCCCCACATCATTCCAGCATTTCCTGGACAACTTTTCAAACTTGGCATGTGGCTGGAGCCTTGGGGATCCCTGGAAATTAAGCAGAACTGCACGCTGCAGAAAATTAAATATCAGAGGCTTAATCCTCCTCTCACTGATTTTATGCTGATATCATCCCACTGACTTTACAGACTTTTGGAGGGTTTTTTATTATTATTATGGAAGTGGAAGGAGAGCCACAACCTTTATTATTAATCCTTTTCCCATTTCTACTGTCTCCAGATCACCCTGGAAATCCTCAACTCATAATTTCTTTTCATCCACAAATTCCCAGGCTTTTTGTTGGCAGATAGGAAGTAAACACCATTCTCACAGGCATGGTGACTCTGAGGTCAGTATCCCCACTGAATGTCCCAAGATAATGGACAATAACCCCAACCAGTTTCCTGCACCAATACCATGTCTCCTGGTATCAGAACCTTCTTACACAAATCAGTGAGGTGCTACTGCCTGACTTCTTTCTACTACTCAACGGGCTAGTGTTCCTCATGTAAATTCCCTGGGTTTCATCAATCTGGTACAAGAGACAAACCAGCATGTGAAATGTTAAAAGACATTAATTTTCTAAGCAAATTCATACATGAATCCTCAGCAGAATTTTCACTGCAGCTGGAGCACAGCAGGGATAATGCTCCCCTTATTTAACCAATAAAATAAAAAGAACTAAGTTTAGTCCTTGGTCGTACCATGTAGCTCATGAACTCAACAAATGTTTTACTCCAAGCTATCAAAGAATGTAAACTACAGAAGTGAAAACAATGACAAAAACCTTATATACATGAAACACCACCTACCCAGAGGAGCCCAACAGATTTATTCTCTTCCTTTCATTACTTTTTCTTCTTTTTCTTTTTTTTTTGTATACGTGTAGATATCTAATGTAGATCCTGTCAAATTCCATTAGCGTAAAGATTTCTCTTGGGTGGAATGTGGCAGCTGTTACAAGCTGTTAAGGGTTTGGTTTTTTACTGTTTATTTTTGTTTGCAAGGTTTGTGAATATTTAGTGCAACAGGTGGTCCTTCACTCTCCCCTGCAGTTGACTTGCTGGCCATTAGGACCTGCAAACTAAAAGGAAGGTACAAAATCCTGAACATGTAAGGGCTAAGAAAATTTGGAGGACTTTGGGGGGGTTTGGGATGGTTTTCTCTTATCAACTCAGCAGAAATTAGCAGAGCTGACACCTTGCTTTTGCTGCTGGTTGCAGACAGATCTCATGGTTCTTTTCAGATTTCTAATTTTCAAGCTGGCTTACTGCCACCCCACAAAATCAGCAGCATAAAAACCATGCACATAGCAGTGTGACCATACTGGAATCTTGAGACAAAATGTCACAACCGTATGAAAGTGAAAGAACAGAAACTCACTAAGTCCAAGCACTTTGGAAGAGTGGAAATTCATCTGACTGTGGTGAGTCAGTTGCTGGTGCAACTACTTCAGGTACACAACAATTTTCCCCTGATTACTAATACTTGGGCAAAAACTAAAAAAAACCCTCAGTAACTTCAAAAATACATGAGAAGTCTGGCTGTGGCAAAGACGGCAGGAGCAGCAGAGGTGAAGCAAACTGCAGAAAAGTTTGTAGTTCAACAGAGATGTTCAAATTGGCATGGTATATTTTGCACAGCTGATCCCGCAATTGCTCTTGCTGTAGGCAAAGGTTTCTAAACACTTGGTGATTGTAACCATATGGACCTACTACACACAACAAATAACACAAAGATAGTTCTGCAGGTGTTCTTATATATTATTTTATCCCCTGAACTTTTCCATTCACTCACATACCCTACTACCTTAATCATCCCTTCTTCCAGCACTAGGCCCATTATCAGCTTCATACAGCTAGAATTTATAATCTGTTTACCACAGACAATAGAGCTATAGAATGATTTAGGCTCAAAGGAACCTTTAAAAAATCATCTATTCTATCCCCCAATAATATTCATTATTATTATATTTGTGACTACAAGTTGCAACCAATATCAGGATTTTACTGATATGGAGACAATACAAGCTTTTCCAAACCAAGAACTTCCTCTATACTCCTGCTATATTGCAATCTCAGGCAGCAAAAAGAAGCACTCAAATAATTAATTTCCAGCCTAAGACCTTTTTGTGAAACCACAGCAGGACAAAATGACATTAACATCAGCAAGACTCAAAAAGACAAAACTAGAAGATGTTGTAGAGATGGGGAAATGTGGCATAGACAAATGAAGAG